TTACCTCCTGACCAAAACTCAACTGCTCTAGGTGCTGGAACCTGGGTCCATCTTGCTGGGGTGATCCCGCGGCTCCAAAAGCACGGGTGAGCCTCGTGATCTGCAAATGCTGCTGCTATGAGGTACTCCGACTGCTCGAAAGCCTTGCCCTCACTATTACATGGACACAACCAGTTCCTGTGAAGATCAGACTCGGGAGCCTCCCCACATCAGTCACATGTGTCGTTCGAACCGATATTGACGCTAAACTTGCGGACCTTGGCCCGCGCACCTCCAACAGCAATCGTCACCATGAGCTCCGCAAGTTGTCGCCCCTTGTGTACGTGCTGGAGGTTCTCGATAAACCTGCGTAAACTAAAAAGATTTGCGCCAATTTCTAATCCGCTGCCTCCGTGTAGTTCGGATGCTTGTCGCCGCTGCCGCAGAGCCAATGACCCCTCAAACTCCCGAAGTAGGTCGTCAGCCTGATCCAACGCGCACAGAGCTTGGTCGTCGAAAACCCACGCATGAAGCCATTGCCCGTCGTCACTCGGAGGTTCCCACTCAGAAGGAGATAAAGGATTCCAGTCAGCCTGCAAGAAATGACCAATCACCGTTGACACTGGGCCACGAATATGTCGTGAGCGCTGAGCCTCAGGAAGCTGTCGAAACTGCTGAAGAATCTGAAGCCACAATCGATAAACGCCTGCTCTAATCGACGGTTCCGTGATCCATGCCTGCAGCCATTGAGAGAGGCATTGGCGAGGAAGAACGATGCCTGGGTCAGCGTGGGCTGCGCGCAAGCCTATCAATGTCGTGACGCACCGACCTCGCCGTGCTCTTCCTGATGCTGCTCCCAGACGCCTCCGTTGAAGTTCCATAGCGTTGCCGAATGTCCCGTAGATCTGATGGCCGTATGTCGCTATTGCCCGAGGACCAGCTCGCTCGATGCGAGACGTGATCCTATACCGTCGCGCCGCTGCCACCATCCTTCTCAACTTACGATGATGGTGACCTGCTTTGATCGCCCTCTTTCTTGCCGTCTCGCGAGCATGCCGCACTCCACTACCCATGTCGACGCCTAGGTGCGCCGTCTGCAGCGCTGCCGTGACATGAATACCACGACGCCGCAATGTCCGAACTACAGCTTTAGCGTCCACGTGTGATGAGCATGTCACCACGCTCTTCGCCGCGATGGTCAAGGAAACCTTCTTGAACGCCTCGACCGTGTCCGTGATGCTCGCAACTCGGTCGCGTTTGACCTGTCTGCGAGAGCCCACCGTCCTCTGAGCCAAATCGTCGACCCAGATGCGTTCTGACATCCTGGGGTGTGCGATGCACAGCTCCTGCAGCACAAAGTAGGTAAGGCATCGCCCGAAGCGAACTCCACTTCTGATGCCCTGGATGATCCCTCTCGTGCTCTGGAAAGGTAGAGAAAAATAATTGAACTGCGATATAACTCGTGGCATCACGCATGTCTGCATCTCGAGACTCAGCACCGCGGGAGGGAAATGCAATCGTAGTGCCGTGTCCGCCAGTACTGAATACTCAATACTGACGTAGAAAGCTTCCAGATCTATGAGGGCCTCTCCTTGAGCAGTGTTCATGCGGGCGCGCACTTCAGAGTTGAGAGCACGCACAATTGCTTCTCGAAGTGCACTATTTCCTACCACTGCTGCATTCCAGTGCGGTGCCGACTGCACCGCCCACGCACGCATCTGATCCTCGCGTGCGAGGCTCCACAACCGACTAATCATTGATATGAGGCCTATGATTCTGTCCCCCCTGACTTTTTCCCCAGCAACTTGCCGATCGTGACCATTATCTGCCATGGCCATGCTAACCCTTCTTCGATAAGAAAGTACAGTTGACACAGCTGCTCCAGTCCCGCGTCGGGCAGACGCTCGAAGTCCACCGGCGACACCTGGTCGCACCCGAGGCCTGCCTTCGGCTTCACGCGCGCCAGAGCGCGCCGAAGATCGGAAACTGTCAGGGGCTCCAGCTGCTCAACCAAAGACTGCTGCCTGATATTGTACATCGCGTCTGACAGTTGTTCAGCTGACAAGGTACCTGCACTCCACTTCCGATGCCATAACTCAACTTTCTTGTCAATTATATCAATAGGATGGGCGGCACACTTACCTTCGAAATGCAGCTCATTGACCTCGACAGGGTTCTGCTTGATGCTGCGATGCGCCACCCCCAGAGCGCCTGTAGTACCAATCCATTCTTGAAATTCACGTAGAGACTGACTCGTCGCTCGAGCCTGTCCACGCTTGGCGCCCCTCTCCATGAGTCGACCGAGTACTGCCAACTGCTCCAGCGAAAAGCGATCCAAATCCTCCAGCTGTTCCACTACCTCTGCCCAAGACTCCTTCCCAAGCGTGAAGAGTTCGTGGACTCCAGCTGGGGCGGTATTGAGCAACTTGATGCTGCTCTCCTTCAACTGCTGAACCTGAAGCCTGCCGTTGTTCCTTCGACGATGCCGTTCCACTCGCCGAACAACCGTACACATTCGCGCCCACCATGACACATGAGCATCTCGCAGAGGCTGATCGCGAACGTGCTCTGCTTGGTGTACTGCACTGGTCTCTTGATATGGCCCTTGAGCTCGTGATCGGCAAGGCGCCGAGAGCCCGTGATGTTCGCTGATGCTCCGCTCCACTGCAGTGACCCACGAAGCGTATCGCGAACTGATATGAAGGATGTGTGGTCCAACTGCTGCATATGCTAGAGACTCTCGAGCTGCAGGCCAGACATCGTCAGAGGCGGAGGGGGGGGGGGGAATGGGGAGGAGAAGGCGGAGGAGGATGAGGAGGCGGACGAGGACGAGGAGGACGAGGAGGAGGAGGAGGAGGAGGAGGGAGAGGAGGCAGCGGAGAAAGAGGAGGAGGAAGAAGAGGATGAGGCGGAGGAGAGGAGGAGGATGAGGATTAGATGAGGATGAGGATGAGGATGAGGATGAGGATGAGGATGATGATGATGATGATGATGATGATGATGATGATGAGGAGGAGGAGGAGGAGGAGGAGGAGGAGGAGGAGGAGGAGGGGGGGAGGGGAGGAGGAATAGGTGGAGGAGGAGGATGAGGAGGATAATGAGTAGGAGTAGAAGGAAGAAGAGGAGGATGAGGAGGAGGAGGAGGAGGAAGCGGATGGGCGGAGGAGAAGGAGGAACATGATGATGAGGAGGAGGAGAAGGAGGATGATGATGAGGAGGAAGAGGAGGATCATCAGGAATAATGATGAGGAGGAGGAAAAGGAAGAGGAGGATGAGGATGAGGCGGAGGAGGAGACGGAGGAGGAGGAGAGGGATGAGGAGGAGAAGGAAGAGGAGGAGGAGGAGGAGGAGGAGTAGTAGGAGGAGGAGGAATATAATAAGGATGAAGAGGATGAGGAGGAGGATGAGGACCAGTGTAAGCCCAAGAGTCACCAACGATGTTGGAATAAACCCTCTCCCCAAACTCCCTCTTCATACGCCCCTACCTAAAGCGGTTCATTTCCACAGAAGGACCTGCCCCTTTGGAAGACAACCGTTTGAAGACCCTGAAGCATGCCAAAACATTATTCTCGGTATTCCAACGCCACGGATGAACCTGACGGTTGCGTCTTGACGATCTCGAATCGTGCCAAAACGCCCTTCCTGGGACCTCAACTCCGCGAGTCATCGTAACTGTTGCGCCCTCAAAACCTTGAATCCTTCCAAAACACCATTTCTGGAACGTCGATCACGGGATTCCGTGATACTCTTGCAATTTTTCAACAAGAGTGTGCGCGGCGCTAAAGCGAGACCCACATTTTGAAAAGAAACCGCCCTCAATCCGTGAAACCCTTGCAAATGTTTAAAACGAATGTACGCGGCGCTAAGGCGAGAGCCACATTTTGAAAACCACCCGCCCTCCATGTGTGAAGCGGTTGCCAAATTTTAAGCTTCAGGGCCATAAATGGCCAGGAACTCTCAGGCGAAACGCCCGGCCCGCCCTAACACCTGGCCTCGGGGTGCGACAGGGAAAAGTTACTCATGAGGAGAAGGCATGGAGGAAGGGCAGGATCGATCAACGTCGGGTCGAGAACTCGGATCGGATCGGAGCGTGCGCCGGACCGGGCCGCGCATCGGCACGGAGCCGGATCCCACTGCGCCAGGATGCGCATCTCGGGGACGTGCAGACAACGGGCCCGCACCGATGTGGAACGAACTGCGGCTCGTCCTGATGCCTCTCTATCAGACGCCCTCTGGAAGCCCGGTGGCCTCACCAAGACCGAGCCAACGATGTACACGGGAGGGGAGCCCGTAAGCGGCAAGGCATTTGAACATCACCGGCCAAGTGTGCAAGCGGGGGATCGCATCGTCCGTCCTTCGAGGGGATGGCTCAGTGGATGCGGTTGGGGGGCCTCCGCTTTGAAGACCCGCCGACACTCTGTTGGCGGGCGAAGCTTTCGAAACATCACCTGGGGTGCATGGTGGGTCAACTCTTTGGCACGACTTTGGATTCCGAATACCACAAAGGACACCCCGCGGGTAGAGCCCCATCCGAGCCCAGCTCCCCCCCAAAAGGGCTCGAACGTTCTCGCGGTGCGCGGTGCCCAGGCCGACTTGCGTTCCCGACCCCCTGGCCCCGGGTTCTCACAAACATGCCCGACCTGGACTTCCCCTGATCCGCATCTTTCCTGCCACTGTCTCCTCGCCCTGGCGCCTGCCTGCTCCCGCCTGCGTCGCGGCTGCCTGGCAGCTGCCTCGCCGCTCGAATCGAACTGACTTCGTTTAGCGTAGAGAGGTCTGCTTTCCAGTATACCTCAGCTTGCAGCAGCTTGCGCGGGCTAAGCCCAGCTCGCGGCCTCCGCTCGGCCCAGCGAGCTCTCAGCGGGGCGTGCCTGACCTGGCCAGAGCTCCGCAAGGGCGATGCGCGTCCTCAGGCCCGCCAGCGCTTCGCTTGTCAGGACAATGCTTCTGTACCAAGTCACACGTTCAGCTGGCTGCGCGCCAGCGCAATCCGGCCGAACGGGTGGGGGGCCGGCGACGGCCTCGGCCCGCATGCAGAACCGCTCCCGCGACGTGGCCTCCAGGACGAAGCACGTGTGCGGGGGAAGCTGGCTGTCTCCGCCTGGCACATGGCAGGCCGCCGTCGGACTGGCAAGCAGGGCTCCCTCGATCGGCGATTGCGCGGTCGACAGACACAGATGGTCGGGGTTCCGAGGCCGCTCGGCGTCTTCGCAAAGGACGGGCCGGGAGCCATCAAGCGGACCCCCTGGCCAGGCAACCGCCCAGGGACGGAATTGCAAAGGGGCTTTTCTGGCCATGGTGAGCTTCGGCCACGGAGATATTCCCCAACCTAGCCCTAAGGAGTGGCCCGAAAATCAAGGCCCTTCCTGACCCCAATGATTTTGTTTTGTTTCGTAGATATTAGCCAGCGTGGACCCCAAGCAGTGTGGTCTAGTAATTTATGAGGTGCAATATGTGGGTGTAAGCTTTATGATGCACTGTATAGTAAGCTGCCAATGTGGTGCAAGATATGTGGTGCGATCCACTTTGACTGTCTTGAAGCTGTCCTCTCCACTGCTCGTGCAAACATCCCACCATTCCACCCGCAACTTGTTCGCAAGACCTCTTAAGACCGTGACGGTAGGTGCCAGAATGGCACTTGGCACCGACACCGACGCCGACGACGACAGCGACAACGACGACGACGCCGACGGCGACTACGACGACGACTCCGACGAATTCGACGACGACGACAACGACGACGACGACGATGAGGACGAAGACACCGACGACGACGACGACGCCGACGACGACGACGCCGACGACGCCGACGATGCCGACGACGACGACGACGAAGACCGACGACGCCGACGACGACGACTCCGACGACTTCGACGACGACGACGACGTCGTCAACGAAGACGATGACGACGACGAGGGAGGAGCGAGGACGACGACGGCGACAACGACGAGTGAGGAGGGAGGACGGCGACGACGCGAACGACGAAGAAGGAGGACGGCGGTGCCGACGACGGCGACGACGAGGGGGGAGGGAAGGCGACGACGACGACGAAATAGGATGGACGAAGACGAGACGCCGACGATGGACGACGACGACGACGACGAGGGAGGAGGAAGGACGACCACGGCGACAACGACGACGAAAACGACGACGACGCCAAAGAGGACGACGACGACGACGAGGAAAGACAGAGGACGACGACGGCGACGGCGACGACGACGACGAGGGAGGAGGGAGGACGGCGACGACGACGACGACGACGCAAGAGCGCACGCTTTTGTTGAAAATTCGTGTTGCGAGAACCTTTTTTTATGCCAATGTTTTTTGGACACTCGATTTTGAAATCCTTCCGGAACCGAAGGTTTGGAAGGATTTCGGCATGCGCGCGCGACGACGCGCGCATGTGCACTTCGTCCCATTTTTTGCAGGGGATTCTTCAAACCTTGAGACTTTTGATCAACGAATGTGCGCGCGTAAAAATTTTGGGCTGAGCATGGCGGGGGGGGGGGGGGCGATACTGGCCCCCATTGGATAGTGTATATTCATATTTGGAATGGACGTTGGGGCAGAATCGTGTGTAAATTGCAACACGAATAGGTGGATGGTTACGTCCGGGGTGATGATGGTGCTAGAACCGTCTTTTCATGAAAAAGAAGAATAAACCACCGATGCTCAACTGACTTGAAATTGTAACTTCACCTGCTCGCGCAATTATCCCACCCACCTACCCGCAACTGGGTTTTCAAAACCCATGCGGATGCGATTGCGCTGTGTGCTTGGTGTTGGCTGGTGCATCTCTGCGGCCGGGCTAGCCCGCGCATGCACGCGCGTGCAGCAGCCAGACAATTTTGCGCGACCGACGCGGCCGCGGTGGCGCTGACCGCTGGGCACATCCAAACGGGCACTTCAATGCGAATCGGCGCCTTGGGCGGGCGCGGTATCATGGCAACGTCGACAACGGTAGAAAGTATGCTTATAGTAGCGATGCTGTGACGATGTTGACAACGACGACTGCGCGGCCGGTGACGGAGCCGATGCTGGTCACGCCGACGTTCGCGTGCACTTCGTGCCAATTTTTTGCAATGGGGTCTTGTCTTGCGGCAGCACGCGCGCAAGGGCGTTCAAATGCTTTTTGCATGTGGCGCGAGAGGCCCGTTTGGCATAATTCAATGCACATATTGAAAAAAACATATGATGGTTTGCTTAAGGATTCGCAAGACCGCGGGCGTAGTTTTTTATAGTAAAAAGCATCCTTTGTGCGAATCCACGTGTTTTGTATGTTGTCTTTGTAGCTCTCGATTTTGAATTTCTTACGGCACCTGAGGGTTGCGAAAGATTTCGGCGCGCGTGCGTGACGACGCACGCGCGCACTTCGCCCCGCTTTTTTTGGGGCGACGGATTCTTGCGACGGCACGCGCGCGAGGGTGTTCGAGCGATTTCGGCGTGCGCGCGCGCAAAGCCCGTTCGTTGGCATGTTATGAACATGTCGAAGAAAACCGAAGTTTCTCTGCATAATCCGCAAAAGTGTGAGCTCCAGTTTTCTTGGTGGTTAAAAAACACCCTCGTTGCGAAGCCATTTTTGGTAGAGCAAATTTTGGGACACTCGATTTTGAAATCCATAGGTGGCAGATGCCGGCTTAGCTGGGATGCTATGAATTCGTGTCGGGTGGGCAATGGGGCGGGAACATATGTAAGTTGAAATGAAAAATGGCCCGTTTACCACGTGGGGTGGTGGTGGATCCCAATTCTCTCTGATTCACCCTGCCGAACTTGAAATTGACAACTCCCCTGCTCGCGCAAACGCCCCCCCCCCCCCCGCCCGCCCGCAGCGTGGTTCGCAAAACCCATGCGGCGGCGATTGCGATGAGTGCTTGGCGTTGGCTGGTGCATCTATCTCTGCGGTCGCGCTAACCCGTGCATGCTCGCGCGCGCAGCGACCAGCTATGTAGTGCGGCGCGACCGACGCGGCCGCGGTGGCGCTGACCGCCGGGCGCTTCCAGCGGGCACTTCAGTACGAATCGGCGCCTCGGGCGGGCGCGGTATCATGGCGACGCCAGCAACGGTGGGCGCGATGATGAGCGTTGCGCCCATGGTGACGATTGTGGCGATGACAATGGCACGCCCAATTCCGGCGCCGATGTTGATCGCGCCCGCTGATAACGATGGCGATGTCATCGCGTCGGTGAGAGTTCTGGACAGAGTTCGAAATTCGTGCGCGGCCGATGCGCGCGAGTGGCCCGCTTTGCAGAATGTGATGGCAGCGCTGAGAAACCGATGGTTTCTTAAACATTCGCCAGAGCTCGCGCGTAAGCATTTTTTGAACACTGGTGTTACACAGCCATGTGTTTTCATGTTTTCGGAGCACTCACTTTTGAAATCCATATGACACCTAATGTTTTTGAAAGCCGTCGGCATGCGCGCGCGACGACGCGCGCGCACTTTGTTTCATGTTATGGCAAGGGATCGTTGCGACAGCGCGCGCGAGGGCGCTCGCGCGATCTCGGCGCGCGCGCGAGGCCCGTTTGGTAGCATGTTATGAGCACGTAGGAAAGCAAACACATAATTGTCTTGAGAATTCGCAAGAGCGCACGCGCATCTTTTTCTTGTTTTCTTGAAGCCCCGTGATGCAACATCTTTTTTTGGGAACTCGGGGCGCTCGATCGTGAAATCCTTGCGAGGCCGGATTTTTCTGTTCTTGTATATTTTGTTATATATATATATATATTTATGTATACATATACATCGATGTATGGATTTCGGCATGCGCGCCAGATGACGCGCGCGTGTATTGTCAACTACACTGCTCGCGCTATCGCCCCACCTACCCACCCGCAACTTGTTCTGCAAAGCACATGTAGCGGTGTTTGCGATGAATGCTTGCTGCTCGCTGGTGAATTTCAACCGCCGCCCTAGCCAGCGCATCCTCGCGCGCGCAGCGGCCAGCTAGTTCGGCGCGACCGACGCGGCCGCGGTGGCGATGACCGCTGGGCACTTCCCAGCGGGCATTTCAGTGCGAGCCGGCGACTTGGGCGGGAGTGGTATCATGGCAACGTCGACAACGGTAGCCACGATGATGATGGTGGCGACGCTGGTGACGATGGTGACAATGGCGGCGGCCTGTGACGGCACCGATGCTGATCGCGCCGACGACGATGAAGGCGTCCTCGCGTCGGTGATGCAGGTGTTGGGAGGAGTTCGACATGCGCGCGCGGCCGACGCGCGAAAGTGGCCCGCATGGCATTCTCTGAAACGGATCGTGCCCCCCCAGCATGCTCGCAAGGGCTGTCGAATGATCTCGACATGCGGCGCGAAAAGCCCGTTTGGCATAATGTAATGAACATTGTGGAAAACCAATGGTTTCCTGGAGAACTCGCAAGAACGCGGTCGCACTTTTCGGCAACCGATGTTGCACAACCGTGTGTCTTTATGCGTTATCGAGGCGTTCGATTCTGAAATCCTTACGGGACCTCTGATTTTTGAAGGCTTTCGCCATGCGGGCGCGGCGGCGCGCGCGCGAGCACTTCGCACCGTTTTTTTGCAAGGGGTTCTTGCGACAACACGCGCGCGAGGGCGTTCGAGCGATTCCGACATGCGCGCGCGAGAGGCCCGCTTGGTACCATTTTACGAAAATGATCAACAACCTACGGTTTGCCATAACATTTGCAAGAACGCGAAGGCGAACTGTTTTTGAAAACCCTTGTTGCGAAACCGTGCGCTCTTATACGTTTTCGCGGCGCTCGGTTTGCAAATCCTTGCGGCACCTGAGGTTTTTGATGGATTTTGCCATGCGCGCGCGACGACGCGCGCGTGTGCAATTTGTCGTTTTTAGTGTTTTTGTTTGTTTGTTGTTGTTCGTTGGTTTTGCAAGGGATGATTGGAAACAGAAGATTTTAATGAGCGAGTGCGCGCGCATAGTATTTTTGCAAAGGATGGGGGGGGACGAACTCTGGTTGGGCTGGGATGGTCTGAGTTCATTTTTAAGATGGACGATGGGGCAACATAAGATGTACCTTGCAATGCGAAAAGGTGTGCCGTTAACCCTGGGGGAGGGGATCGATTCTAACACTTTTTTCGTACATGTGGTGTAGTATTAGTGGTGC